TAGGCCTCCAACATACCTACTTTCTATACAGCTACTAGTCTCTCCTATTTAAGACAAAAATGTGTCCAGGTCCCTCCCCTATTTAAAATTCTGTAATGGTTCCCTAGGAAACAGGGTAAAATCTGAGCTCTGTAGCATGGAATACAAGGCCCTTTGTGACCTGCTCCCTGCCCACCTGTTCAGCTTCCTCTCCTGTCTGCAGTTTCCTCCACACATCATGCTATTCTTTCCTCCTCTCTGCTTTCAAGTCACACTGGACTATACTCAGCCCCATAATGTGCTATGATCCCTCCTGGAAGTGGGCCACTGAAACTCTTTTCTAGGCATTTTAACTATTAAAATCCTCCTACCTATTTTCAGTTATTCATTCATTTTTTTTTTTTTTTTAAGATTTTACTTATTTATTTGACAGAGAGAGACACAGCCAGAAAGGGAACAGAAGTAGGGGGAGTGGGAGAGGGAGAAGCAGGCTTCCCGCGGAGCAAGGAGCCCGATGTGGGACTCGATCCCAAGACCCTGGGATCATGACCTGAGCCGAAGGCAGATGCTTAACGACTGAGCCACCCAGGCGCCCTTCAGTTACTCATTCTTTAGTCTTCAGCTCTACTGTCACTTCTTGAGGAAGCCTTCCCAGAAAGGACAGACATCTTACACTATCCCTATTACCACTTTTCATAATTCATAATTTTATGCTGTAGTTTTGGTGTTATGAGAGCAGGGACACCATCTGCTTTATCACTTTATCTCTGATCACACACAGGGTTCATATGATACATATGTATCAAAATGTGAAAAGATTTGTTTAATCAAGTTGTCATAAAACGTGTAATTTCTAATTTTCTTAACTCTTACAGTGACACTGATTAACCAAAAATGAGTAACCGAAGACAGTCCAGCTTTTCTTTCTTCTTTTTTCATGAAAACAGCTGTCTGTTAGTAAGGACAGCAATAGGGATGTAAATTTGAGTAGCATAAAATGAGTATCCCTAGATCAGGCTTTATATTAGAGATAGCAAAAATCTTAGGGAAATTATGGTTTTTTTAAAATAAAAATACAGTTATTCCCTTCTAGACTCCTGCTTCAAGGTGATAGACTAACGATACGCTGTAGCCCTCCCCCTTTATAACAAATCTATTTATCATGGAACAAAATGAATGAGGAATGCCTAAAGATGAAAAGAATTCAGATAAAACTACGGAGAGAAATAGCCGTTCAGAATGTAGGCAGGAGAATGCCAGTTCAGAAATGCTGGGGATGGTTAAGCAGGTAGATCTCTGTATTCATATAAGCATGAATATGAGTACACACACACAGGGCTCTCTCTTCCTCCTAATCATCAAAGTTTCAGGTCATAGTTTCATCAGAAATGTCAGCTTCCAGGAAGGAATAGTAAGTGTGGGAGGCTGGGTTGGAAAGGGAGGGAAGAGCCCCAGGGAATGAGAGGAATTAAGGAGCACCCAACCCTCTAAACATTTCATCTCTCTCTCTCCCTCCAACTAGGTAATAAAAAGTGACTGCAGATGCTCTACTCTCAACTACAAAGCTGAATGCAATTCTTCCCATCTTGCTCTACAAATTCAATGCAATTCTAATCAAAATATCAACAGGTTTTTTTTTTAAAGTATATGATAAACAAATTCTAAAATGTATAGAGAAGAGCCAAGGGCCAAAAGATCATAAAAAAGAACTTGGTAGGTTTGCTCTCTCAGGTATTAAAAAAAAAAAAAAAAAAAAGAATTAGAAGCTAATTAAGGCGGTACAGTATTAGCTCAGGGACAAATAAGCCAATACAATAAAGAGAACATAGAAACAGACCCTGGCATACGTGGAAACCTGACCGATAATGGCTTGTATTGAGGGTCAATGGGGAAATGATAAAAGATTCAATGAAAGGTCTGGGACACTGGTTTTTTTAAAAAAGTGAATATGGATCTCTCTTTACAGAAACATAAAAAACAAATCCAGATAGTTCAAGGTTTAAACTGTAAAACTTTTGGAAAACTAAGAAAGTATCTTTGACCCCTAGTTTGGCAAAGATTTCTTTTTTTTCTTTCCTTTCTTTCTCTCTCTTTCTCTCTCTTCCTTTCTTTCAAGATTTATTTATTTGAAAGAGAGAGAGGGAGAGAGAGAATCTTATGCAGACTGTGTGCTAAGCACGGAGCCTGGTATGGAGCTAGATTTCACAACCCTGAGATCACCACCTGAGCAGAAACCAAGGGTCTGACGCTTAATCAACTGTACCACCTAGACACCCCTATAATAGAATTTTTTTAAGAGAAAAGAAAAATAGGAATTGAATAAGATAGGCAAAGTTTTTTTGTTGTTTTTTTTTTTAAGAGCCTGTAGGGGTGCCTGGGTGGCTCAGCTGGTTAAGCGTTGGACTCTTGGTTTCAGCTCAAGTCATGATTTCAGGGTCGGGGGATTGAGTCCCACATGGGGCTCAGCGCTCCCTGCTCAGCGTAGAGTCAGCTTGGGATTCTCTCCTTTTCCCTCTCCCTCTTTCCTTCTAAAATAAGTAAATATATAAATAAATTAAAAAATAAAAATAAAGAGCCTGTAAAGTTTTAAGATTAACACTAAAAAGTTATTAGATCTTGAATGTGATTAACAAAAGAAAACAAAAAGACTTCAGAAATCACAAAAACAAAATGTAAGAGATCTCAAGAGCTGATAAATGCAATCAGAACCATCCTAGGTACCTTCACCCTCCCTTTGTATGGGGGGACCTTGAGTTAGTTAACAGCTGATGAGCAATTCTGGGGCGGGGGAAGGAAGGGAAAGTGGAGTTAAGAAAAGAAGGTAAAACTGGAAGATTCTCAAAATGATCAGAGATGGGTATGCTCTTTTGAATGTATGTAAATGCATGTTCAATCTGCTCACAAACCCTACCATCACCCATTTCATTTTGTGTGCTTTCTGCCTTTCCAAGGCTGTCCCTAAGTACATTTTATCCCACCCTGAGTATTCCCCTATCCCCCCTTTTTAAAGGTTTTATTGTTTCAAGTAATCTCTACATCCAACATGGGACTAAAACTCACAACCCCAAGATCAAGAGTCACACGCTCCACAGACTGAGCCAGCCAGGCACCCTTCCCCTACCTCACTTTGCATTCTCTCTCTATAGGCAAGTCATTTCAACCCTGTCAACAATTTCTTCTGGTACTAACCTGCATAAATTTGTTTTCTAACCACCATAATTATAAATACTGTGTTTACACTGACATTATTAGGTTTTCCTACTCTAAAAATACTGACTTACTACTATGGAAGATGCGCATTCAGTGCTCTCCCACACACGCTTGTCCGCTCTCTTCCCATACATACTTAAAAAACATACTTCCATGAGAGTTTTCAGTTATAACCACACTGAAATCCTAAAAGCAAAATTAGAAATAAGAGATATACACTAAAAGGAATAGGTTTTTAACTGTCCCATGATGATAGCCTGTCTGCAAATCTAAATTCTCAAAGATTTGATTCTTTATTAATATTAAATATATGACCTCATTCAAATTTTCACTGATTATGTATTCTTTTTTTTTTTTTTTAAGATTTTATTTATTCATGAGAGAGAGAGAGAAGCAGAGGGAGAAGCAGGCTCCCAAGGAGCAGGGAGCCCGATGCGGGACTCGATCCCAGGACTCTGGGATCATGACCTGAGCTGAAGGCAGACGCTTAACCATCTGAGCCACCCAGGCGCCCTGATTATGTATTCTTAACTCTCAAGTTAAATGTGTACTTATTATTATATATAAAGCACTATTCTTCCCACTTGCATTTACTTCTCAATGTTAACCTAGCTATAAAAGTAGAAATATATCTTTATCTTCACTTAGAGCTATTACTGGCTATCAGAGCCATAATGTCATGCTTAATGTAATTAAATAAACTAATCCTTAATTATTATTATTATTTTTTAAAGATTTCATTTATTTATTTGACAGAGAGAGACACAGAGAGAGGGAACACAAGCAGGGGGAGTGGGAGAGGGAGAAGCAGGCCTCCCGCCGAGCAGGGAACCGACGCAGGGCTCGATCCCAGAACCCTGGGATCCTGACCTGAGCTGAAGGCAGATGCCTAAAGACTGAGCCACCCAGGTGCCCCTAATCCCTAATTCTTACTCTGGAATCCACTACTAGTCCATAATCCCTATCTAATTCTAAAGTCCGAAAAGCTCTGAAAACCACAAGTTTTTTTCCTTAGGTTTGGCACCAAAACAAATGCAGTGACTTCAACTTAGATGAGATGACCATTTAATGCACAAGACAGATCTCTTCACCAAAGTGTTATTCGGCCCCCAAAGGTCAATCTTACTGAGGCTGAGAAACCCTGGACTAGCTAATGTTTGCAGGAGACACATTAACGTATTGATCACTGAGTGCTGCCTCAGATGCTTCTGATGGCATAACAGAATACATGATGAAAAGTGCTAAGTAGGGGCGCCTCGGTGGCTCAGTCGTTAAGCATCTGCCTTCAGCTCAGGTCAGGATACCAGGGTCCTGGGATCGAGCCCCGCATCGGGCTCCCTGCTCGGTGGGAAGCCTGCTTCTCCCTCTCCCACTCCCCCTGCTTGTGTTCCCTCTCTCGCTGTGTCTCTCTCTGTCAAATAAATAAACAAAATCTTAAAAAAAAAAAAAAAAGTGCTAAGTATTACTACTACTGAAAAATCAGAAACTCTTAATTAGATCTTTCTCAAATATCCAAATCTCATTAATGTTGGGAAGCCATAAACTATGGCCCATTTCTCTTAGAAAATGAAGGAGAGGATTACAGAAATTCATTGGATATAACAAGTAGATAAGGAACAAATTTAAATTTAGTTTTACTCTTTCCTATCACAGGTTAATTAGCCTTTCTAATAGTGCCTATATACCACCATCAACAGTTTTCTTGGATCTGTTTATTGTTTTCACTATAAAAATCTCAACTGACTATAAAAAGACATCAAAATCAGTAACATAAAATAACTGAGACTCTTTACACGACAGTAGCTATTTACCTTTCTCTGTGCCTGAGAATATAGAGATGATTTTATTCCTGGGCTTTTTTTCCTCTGGAACAGAGGGCAACGGTTTCAAACTGTGATTGGCTGACAAAGGGTCTTTGCCTCCAGTGCTAAATATGGTACTGCTCATTCGCACGGGAGGCGCTGGAGGCTTGTCTTCCAGTTCTCCGTTATCAGACATGCTTTGGAATTATGATATGGCCTGAAATAGATAGGCAAAATCATACAGTTAATCACAAGGTAAAAAATAGTACAGACAAGCACAAACAGTAATAATTATCCTCTTTCCAACTCTGAATTAAAAAGGTAATCCATTTAGAGTGAAATTTGCAAAATTTGTAAAACTCAATGAGTAAGAGATGAAATTGGTTATTACTATGGGTAATCTCCCCTAACAAAGTTGGTAAATGGTTAGCTGAGGGAATGTTTGAAAAGCCAAGTCAAGAGGACTATGGTAAGTTTTCGGAAAGCATGATGATACTAACATATCAAAAGATGATTAATCGATTCTAAGAGTATATATTCCAAGGAAAAGACAGACAACATGGAGTCTTTAAAAAAAAAAATAACAGAGAATTCTGCAGAGGAAGACTATGTTCTGACCGATCAATCAAAAGATAGGTCTCTGATCAAAGTCCATATCTAGAGCAGAGATACAACACTTGCTATTAAATACATCAACCAACGCCACTCCCCATGAAGAATCTGACTCCATGCTCACTAGCCTTGTGATTACAACTTAGCCTTCATATAAACTTCCCTAAAGGATGAGAATGTGCCACTGATGCAGTATTTGGTTTCTAAGAAAATCTGACATTCTAACTACATGTTAGTCCCTTGCACGCTTTGCAGACAGGCCCACAAAACTTGACCCATCTGGGAACACTGACAAAAGTAAATCTAGAGTTTGGCCGAAAACCAGAGTGTGGCCAAATCCCAAGATTCTGTCATCCCGTGATGCCCTGTGCAGGCAGTCAAGTAACCCCTCTTAATCCACATGACTAATTCAGTGGAAATGTCAACCCTGTTTATACATATATTATTATATAAACCATATATATGGCCTTTAAAAACAGTAGATTATACACATTTAAAGTCAGCAGTAAAGGGAAGGGGATGCTTAACTTCCAGGTGAGTTTTTTTTTTTTAAGATTATTTATTTATTTGAAAGAGAGAGAGAGCACAAGCAGGCAGAGTAGCAGGGAGAGGGAGAAGCCAGATGAGATTAGGAAACAACACATTTCCCCAGTAAACAAGATTTTGATTGGTAATTAGATCCTGATTTGATTATAGTTATTCAATGCATTTAAGTGAACAAAACTTTGTATATGTACAATGAAAAGAATGCCAACTGTATTTAGAATAAATTAAAAATAAATTTTATTTTTTTATTTAGTTTGAATGTTAGTACCTAAAGAAAAGTAGGTATCATTTGAGGAGAATTGAGGAATGAAGAGATTATTGTACCTAATTCCACTTCAAATCTTATAGCTTTTGTTTCCCTTGATTAAGAGTATGTGTCACTAGAACCACTGTGTATTTTATCTGCCATAATGACAGTTATTTTCCAGCCTACAAAAGAGGAAGGAGAGAGGGTAAGGGGGGAAAATAAACTTTTCTGGGGAGAGCTAGCTAGAGAAGAACTGGGAGAAGAGAGTAAAAAAAAAAAAAATCTCTTATCGTGAGAAAGACTGCTTGAAGTGAAATTACTATTGGTAGTCAAAAGAAGAAACGGGGTGGAATATAAGAACGTGAGGCAGATGACATAGTCAGATGATTCTTCCAAACCAGGTGGTCACATCACGGGGGGTTTGTTCTGCTTTGGCGTGAGAAGCAACTGGTTGTTCTTAAGTGTGGGCTGTCAGGTGTGCATCACCAGAGAGGACTTATATACTGCTACAAATAGAAGAAAAATAAGGCTTAGTTAACAATATTTGGAAGATTACTTGAGAGCATGATAAATCAAGACAGATGTTTATTTCTTATGTGACCATAACATCAAGGCAAAACAGATTGCCCACTTTCATCTTAATCACCAGTTACAACAGACAGCATGTTCAGATTTTGGTTACACTGTGAATGCTGCACCTCAGGGCTCCTTGAAGAAACAGCTGGTTCTAGGCCTGGGACAGAGAAAATACAAGATGAGCCTAGAGTATCTTATATTGTCAGAAGGTAGGAAGTACTTAAAAAGGATAGGAACACACACAGAAAGAGTTTTCTTTTTCCTTCTTTTTTTTAAGATTTTATTTGACAGAGAGGGAGCACAAGCAGGGGCAGCTGCAGAGGGAGAGAGAGAAGCAGGCTCCCCGCTGAGCAGGGGCCCAACGGAGGGCTCGATCCCAGGACCCTGGGATCATGACCTGAGCCAAAGGCAGACACTTAACTGACTGAGGCACCCAGGTACCCCAGGAAAGAGTTTTCAAAAGCCAATGCTGGAATGACTGGAGCAACAAATTAATAAAGTAGCATTATATTTAACCCAAAGTATAAAATAAATACACACAATTCATATCAAGTAAATGAATAAATAAGGGGCACCTGGATGGCTCAGTCAGTTAAGCATCTGACTTGATTTTGGCTCAGATCATGATCTCAGGGTCATCAGATCAAGCCCTGTGTTGGGCTCCACAATGGGCGTGTAGACTGGTTAAGATTCTCTCTCTCCCTCTCCCTCTGCCTGCCCCCAAAAAGAATAAAATGGTGGGGTGCCAAATCATCCTTACAAAACAATTCCAAATAATAAATGTAGACAAATCCTCTTCTAGGAGTCGGAATTTAACTTCCCTCCCCACTTGAGTGTAGGCTGGACCTAGTTCCAAAGAGTAGAGTATGGAAAGGGAAAAATAACTTCATGGCAGAAAAATGTGGCAAACACTGCAATAACCAAGTGATCAAGGTTAACATCTCCAGTAATAAGTTATGCTGACATCACTCACCACCTGATCTAATGTGATGAGAAACATACTTCACCTCTGCGGTATTCTTCCCCAAAATCCAAAACTGCAGTCTAATTATGGGAAAAACATCAGACAAACCCAAACTGAAGGACATTCTACAAAATTCCTGACCAATGCACCTTAAAGCTATCAAGGATGGGGGTGCCTGGGTGGCTCAGTTGGTTAAGCATCTGCCTTCGGCCCAGGTCATGATCCCAGGGTCCTGGGATCAAGCCCCACATCGGGCTCCCTGCTCAGCGAGCCTGCTTCTCCCTCCCCCTGCTTGTGCTCACTCTGTCAAATAAATAAATAAAACCTTAAAAAAAAAAAACTATCAAGGACATGAAAAACAAAGACTGAGAAACTGTCACAGAGCAGAGGAGTCTAAGACATGACAATATTATACTCTGGAACAAAAAAAGGACATAGTGGAAAAACTGGTGAAATACAATAAAATCTAGAATTTAGCTAACAGTAATGTACCAATGTTGGCTTCTTTGCTTTCACAGACATTTTAGGGTTTATGTTAACATTAGGAGAAGATAGGTGATAGGTATATAGGAAATCTATGATCTCTGCAACTTCTCTGTAAATCTAAAATTATTCCATGATAAAGCCTATTTAAAACGAAATTATGTAATAAAATAAGATGAAATCTGAGAGGTATACAAACCATAAGAGACTCTTAACTATAGGGATGTTATATGCAACTGATGAATCACTAAACTCTACCTCTGAAACTAGGAAGGAAGGAAGGAAGGAAGGAAGCAAGCAAGCAAGCAAGCAAGCAGGTGCCGGCTGGGATCGAGCCCCGCATTAGGCTCCCTGCTCAGCGGGAAGCCTGCTTCTCCCTCTCCCACTCCCCCTGCTTGTGTTCCCTCTCTCGCTGTGTCTCTGTCAGATGGATAAATAAAATCTTTTTTAAAAATTTTAAAAATTAAAAGAAAATAAAAAGGAATTATGTAGTAAGTTCCTCAAAAAGTTATAGAATTATCTATAATATGACCTAGCAATTCCACTCCCAGAATATACCTAAGAGAATTGAGAACATATCCACAAATAAATTGCCTATGAATGTTCATAGCATTATTCATAATAGCCAAAAGATAACCAACAGATGGATACACAAAATGTGGCATATCCATATAATGGAATATTTGGCCACAAAAAGGAGTAAAGTACTACAACATGGATGGACCTTGAAAACATAAGTGGAAAAAGAAAGACACAAAAAGACCACACACTGCATGATTCCATTTATATGAAATGTCCCAAACATGTAAATCCATAAGGACAGCAGGTAGATTAGTGGTTACTTAGAGGGGAGGGGAATGGGATGTGACGACTAATGGGTACAGAGTTTTTTCTTGGGGAATGAAAATGTTCTGGAACTAGACATTGGTAATGGTTGCATAACCTTTTTAATATCTTAAGACCATTGAATTGTACACTTTAAAACAGTAAGTTTCAGCTATGTAAATTATACCTCAATTTTTAAAAAGGAACTAATATTTACTTCATAAAGATTAAATGAGCTAATAAAGACTGAACACTGCTGCTACTATCATGATCATTAATATTTATAAAACTCTATGCTATAAGTTAGAGAAAATAAAGGAGGATCTAGTTCTTCTCCAAGAGTTCACAAGCTACTAGGGGAAAGACCAACACAACTAAGTTGGGTCATGCATGCCACATGCATATTAAAAGCCACTTAGTTTCTTCAAAAGGTAGCAGTTCTCAAAACATTTTGGCCTCAAGACCCCTTTATACTCCTAAAAATTACTGAGGATGCCAAATAATTTTTGTTTATATATATATATCTATGTTGTTTATGTCTATATTTTCTATATGAGAAATCAAGCAAGTTAAATATTTATTTCATCAAAAAATACTTACATAAATAAGAGGGGCTCGATCATGACCTTAGCCGCAGGCAGATGCTTAACCATCTGAGCCACCAGGGCTCATCAAGTACATTCTTAAGTAAAACTAGCTTTAAAAAAAAAACAAAACTCTACAAGTAAAGTGCGGGGAGAGCGCCCGGATGGCTCAGTCGGTTAAGTGGCTGCCTTCAGCTCAGGTCATGATCTCAGGGTCCAGGGACTGAGCCCCAGGTTGGGCTCCTTGCTCAGTGGGGAGTCTGCCTCTCCCTCTCTCTCTGCCCCTCCCCCAGTTCATGCGCTCTCTCTCTCAAGTAAATAAATAAAATATTTTAAAAAACAAAACCAAAAAACAAAAC